TCAAGTCTTCGCCGTGACACAGGAAGTTGTTGTAACTTCAGTGTACATGCTCACATCTGAACCAAACTTCACGTGCTTGATAACTCTCCCACCCCTCTATGGAGGACCGATCCTGACACAGTCAGAAATAAATACAGAAATAAATAAGTGCTCAATAAATAAATAAGCATCCAATTAAATACACAAAAAAATAAAGTAAATAAATAAATGTAGGTAGTAATTAAATTATACAAGGAGACATAAATGTATATATTTTAATTAGTGCCTTTACTTATTCACCTTTGTTATAATTACCTTATTTATTTATTCTACGTTATAATCTTCAACTTTATTTATTACTAATTTTTTTAATGTATTTATTTATGTGTGTGTTTTAATATTTTTGTCTGTTTTATTCTTCCTTTGTATTTATTTATCTTATTTATTTTCACCCATGGTATTTATTTCTGCCTGTCCTTTTTAAATTTCTGTATGCATTTCTGCCTCATTATGCAAATGAGGAGGGGCTGTGTCTCAAGGGGTCATCTTCTCTGCTATTGGTGGACCAGTCAGACAGGAGAGCTCCTACTCTGCCTGCAGACATCAACGATCTTGCCCCTCACACAGTCAGATGGCTTCCTTCAGTGCACTGAGGTGTTTAACAACTCTGAAGACAATACTACCAGCAATGTCTTCCTTCTCTTTTCACGTAGACGCTCCGACAGACAGTGCTTTCAGTTTGCTGCATGCATGGACACAGAGAGAAGCACACGGTCAGCTGGCTGCAGCTAAATCTGGAGTGCACTCGTATTCAATTCTGTATGGTAAATTCAGTTTTAACGGAGCAGAGCGAGCTGACAGGCAGAGTTAGAGACTTTTTCTGTCCGTTTCTCTCTTTACAAAGACGCATGTTGCAGTCAGAGTCTTCTCTGAGATGCGAGCACGACATACAACACAATTTATCAAATTACACATCGGATATACAGTATGAAAATAAGATTGATTGGATTATACTCACAGGAAGTATAAAACCTGTTACATGGGTCTATGTAATACTACATGCTGTACAGTATTTGTGTACAGATTTTGTCCCAGGATTTATTATGCATTTCTTCTTCTTCGTTGCATGATTTAGAATAATAAGGTGAATTAAGAAAGAATTTATTTTATTGTTTGGGTACATTATTGTTCAGTGTACATGCTCACATCTGAAACAAACTTTACGTGCTTGATAACTCTCCCACCCCGCAGACATCTACACACCAATACCGATTTATATTCATAGCGGCAAGTGCTATGTAGCTCCACGTAGTGGACACAGGAAGTGACATATAACACCTTCATGCGGCGTCGGAACTGCGTAGGAAATTCACAGCCGCACCGGCAGAGCTCCAGAATGTGAAACGCGGCCGGCTCACGCCCGTACGTGCTACAAGTGCGAGGGCCCGCCCAACGCTGCTTGCAGCTTTAATTAATTAATTGTAACTATTTTACCAGATGCCACTCCCAAGTAAAGAAACACTGCTCGCCATAGACAGTATGTTAATTTTGACCCTGCAGCAAAAGCGGAGTCGCTAAAAGAAGCAAAAAATATTGCGTCTTTAAGAAAATTTAAAATGAAAACTATATGATGCAACATGTTGCTCTTGTGTGTTTCCATTTCTTAGGAGGAAATGCATTTTTTTTGTGAACATGTTGGCGTCCATGCGACCAATAATGCGACCAATAATAACAATAACTGTATTAAATTAAAAAATTGTGACTGAAATATTAATTACTGATACAGTAAGTTTAGGTGAATGGTATTTTTTAAATATTTTTATCAGTTTTATTCAATTTACAGAGAAAATTAATCAATTAACTACATATAAGAAGGGGATTGTGACATTATAGAGCCAAAACATAAGATCATTATTTACAAAAACCCAAAAGAAAAGCAAATACATTGTATCTAAAACCTTTATTTTACTGAGAACTTGTAAAAACTGTTAAGCATGTTAAGGAAATTAATTAATTATAAAATAAATTATGGTCGCACCACATGACATTTTGTAAGGCCACAAACAGTTTATGTAGCTGAAAAAACACTAAAATCATTTAATTTGAAAAAATTATATTAATTTATGTGTACACAGCATTCTTAATGTTTGAACAATGCCAATAAATGTTTTAGTTTTTTGTATTTTAAAATTGGCCTGTTGAAAATCCTTATACGTCATTGACCCAGATCTGATATGTTTAATTAACAATTGAAGCTAATTTCTGTTCAGACATAACTTCCATCCATAAACTTGTAAATGTCCTTTTGTTCATATTTTCATGTTTCTTGTACTAAATTTAGTCTGCAGTCACAAAGATTTGTGTTTCTTTGTGAAACTGTAGAAAATGTCCGCTGTTAGTCGCTAAAGTAAATAAATGTTTCTAATTTTTGGTAAATGGTCACATTTGTATATAGAAGATCCTCTGAACTAATATTTGTTTTAAACTGATCAAGTGTACTTGTTGAAGTAGAAATATTTCTTTGCTTTCTGTTGGTTTCAATGTGTCACAAATAATGTCTGATCACTGATATTGATCCTTCAGACACACACACACACACACACACACACACACACACACAGACTGGCCTGAGATCAGCAGCATGTTATTGATCTGTGTTGACATGAATAGGTGTATGAATGTTGTGCTGACATTTGGATGATGTCTGTAGAAGGCTGACATTATGATGATCCACAATAACACAATGACAAAGTCCCTCTACTCATTTTAGGGAAAAGCTCATTGATTAGGACATAGTAATGTTGAGCTCCACATTTAAAACCTGAACACATCTGATTGGATTAGAAATGGATTTTTATCTCCATCATTTATTCTTTATTCAGATTGGAGCACTGCAGTTTGTCAGAGATCAGCTGTGCTTCTCTGGCCTCAGCTCTGAAGTCCAACCCCTCCCATCTGAGAGAGCTGGACCTGAGTAACAACTACCTGCAGGATTCAGACGTGAAGCTGCTGTCTGATCTTGTGGAGAGTCCACACTGCAGACTGAAGACACTGAGGTCAGTAGAGGGTTGGAGTCAGTCCATGCAGGTTTCAGCAATATTGTACTAAACACAGTTAGTATCAGCAGAGATCCAGTATTTCCTGTAAACCTCCAACCTTCTCAGCGGCTGCTTTCCTCAGTGAAGCTGTGAGAGGAGAATGGTGACAGGCTTCAGGATTGGACAGAAAGACAGAGAGAGAGAGAGAGAACAGGCAGCGATCATGTGTTTGAGTTGATGTGAAGACGACTGTTGTTGTTGTGTTCATGTCTCCAGGAAATAAAGCTGGATTCCAGCTGACAGCATCACAAGATGTATAGAGACAGTGGTCCTCATTCATCAAACTGTCGGACCATCAAATCTGATCTCAAAGTGTTTGTTCTCTCATTTCAACACTAAACTACTGATCAGTTCATCTTTGTCACAGCTCTGAGATCAGTCTGACTGAAGCCTGCAAATCACTGGCTCTTATTTCAGAGAACCATCATTACATTTAGTAACCATGTGGTCTTTCTACAGAGCAGAACCTCTGCTGAAGTCCAGTAAGCACAGCTGATGTTTAGCTGTTGTAGGACCTTTAACATCATATATATATCTGTCCATGTGTCTTTAGTTTGGTCCAGATGTTTTTAGAACAGACTCCATATTTACAGATTTGTCCTGTAATATTTCCAAAGTAGCTGAAATCTTCAAATGTGACTGAGCGGCTGGTTTTTAACAGCAGTAAATCCATCATTCCAGTGAGCAGTGAATATCTCTCTGTCTCTGCAGTCATGATGCGTTCAGGGACTCTCAGCACTTTATTTCCACTGTGGACTTGAGTGAAACCTGCAGAGTAAACAGAGCTGATGGCCAAAGTCTCTGCAGGTCTCAGTGTGTTCACTCCAATACGTTAACATGAGAGCTGAAAGGAAGCTGGCTACGCTACACAGCCGCTCCACTTCTGGTCTGAACAGGACTGAAGTCCCTGCTGGTCTTTATACTGGATGTGCTGCATCACTGACTGACAGCTGATGAAGGGAGTCTCTGTAAACTCTGATTTATGACTTCTGCTCTCTGTCGTCTTCTCTCATCAGATGGAAGCCAACTTTACGGTGGTAAACATGAGAAAGGTGGAGGTGTTGAGAGAGGATCAGCTGTGTCCTGATGATCCAGAGAGGTTGAAGCAGCAGCATCAGCTTGTGTGTGGAGAGGCTCTGACTGGGCCATGTTACTGGGAGGTAGAGTGGAGAGGAGAGCTTCATCCAGCAGTGACTGACAGAGGAATCCCAACAGTGCTGCAGTCTGAACTGCTCTGAGATCAGCTCCACTGTCAGACACAAAGTCAAGTCCACCATCATCCCTGTGTGTTCCTCTGGATGTGACAGAGGATCATCAGTGGATCTGGACTGCTCTGCTGCTGCTCTGTCCTTCTACACAGTCTCTGCAGACACACTGAGACTCCTCCACTCCTTCTGCTGCACACTCAGACACCTCCTCCACCTGGACCTCCACCTGGACCTTATTTCCTTCAGATGTTCTGAACCCAAAGAGCCTCTGCAGATTAGTTCTGTTTCTGACAACAGAACTGCAGATGAACACTTCTTTAAGCTGACTACTTAATTCTGAGGCTTTGCACATCCAGGAAGTTAAAGTGGGAAAGGATCTTCTATAGTGTTTTACAATGTTTATCCAGTTTGCAACACATCTGATAATCATAACTTTGTATTACATGATCTCTCTTCTTAGTATGTTCCTGTATGATGTCACCCTGTCCATATAACAGTTTATTTGTTACAGCGTGGACCCAAGCTTAGGACACATTCACGCTGTGGCCGTTTTTATACACAACAAATTTAGATATTTACATTTTTTCTTGGGCGCCAGCCAGGCTGAACCTGACAGAGTTATTCCTGGATATATGTAACACGGCAGTGCACCCTCAGAAGGAAACATGACACATTTTAGGAAAAACCTGAATAAAATCCCACACACAGAAATCAGTTTTGGTTTCTCTTAAGAAAATATATTGTCAGAAACATTTTAAGAAAAGCAGGGCATGGTCCAACAAACAATAAATCAAAGAGAAATAAAGACAAACACTCAGTCCCCTTGGGATAGTGACACTCTGTCAGCTCTTTTCACAACAAGGCTCACTCCAGCACCAAAAGGTGATCAAAGTAACTCAGTTCCAAACTCGTTCCGCTCCAACACCTCTAATCTCTACCAGGAATAGTTGTTAAGGTGCGAGGAACACAAAGCGTCAGTCAGTTTGCCCGTCAGTCAGAGGCAGCTCCGGAACAGAAAAGGCTCCACGTTACGTTGTCCTCCGTGGTGATATCCAAAAATTTGCTCCACTTGTACCGACGCTTTACCTTCTCCTAACCCGACTGTACGACTCTATTAATAATAAAGTTAAGTAGAGAACTTCCAACCAGACGCCACCGCTCGCCGGCCGCTAAGATGCGTCCTTAGCTCTAGCCAACGTCACTTCCACGCGGCCTGGCGGCCCGCTGTTGCCTTCACGGCCCCGGTAAAAATGTGGTTTTGTCACAACGCGAGACAGAAGGTTTATTTGCAGAAGGTGACTGGGGGTGGAGGAGCGACGGTGAATGGCGTGTGCAGGCTGGAACAGGACAGGATTAGCAGTCTCACAACCAGTCAGGCAGATGAGGAATGATCCTGTGCACAAAGAAAAAGCCTGCTGTTATTATAATGTTTGCACCAAAGAAGAAGAACTTGTTCTTAAAGCAGAGAGGACTGCAGCACGTCTTTACCACTGGAGCTGTACGGCACGGGCAGCTGGAATGGCAGACGGGCCCAGTCCAACCCGTCCCAGTAAACTGGGAGTGCCTACCGCTGTCTTTTGCTTTTGAGGGAGTCTACATGGAAGGTAGAGCAAAAGCTGCGTTAGCAACAGCATTTCTCACTTTGTTCTCCTCATGTGGACAACAATGGAGTCACACAGCAATGATTAGAGAACTTTAATATGTACTATATGAGGCCAATGTTTGTAATGTTTGACTAAGAAATGATCTTGTTACGCAGTAAAAGAAACCTTCAGGTTATTTTGGGTTTTTTAACATTGGAAAGCAAAAATATACAGAAACATCAGCAGGAAACACAAAGATCCTGAAATCTAAAATAAAGGTTCTGAAAACCTGCATTAGCCACAGCATATGAGCAGAAGCATCTGATATTACGGCATAATTGTGATTAATTTAAGTCTCCAAATCTAAATCAATATTTCAGGAGGTAAAAACGATGTTTTACTAATAAATGCTGTTGAAATGCAGGAAAATAAGCTTTATTTATTATATTGAACACATTAAAACATACAAGAACCAACAAGAGGAAACATTTTTCCAAACGGATAAAATAGGACACATCAGGACACACATCCTGGGACTGAGCAGATCAGATCGCGCTCGTTCTACTCTCAACACTACTGATGATGGACTCTGGCTCTGTCCACCAACACAACATTTCTGCCAAGAATTAACCACTAATACTAATGTTCGTTTTCAAGTCCTAGATGGAAAAGAACATCCAATCCCCTCATGGTCACTGAAATATGGCTGCAACACTGTTGCTTCTACATCATAATGTGCCTTTCTCTGCTGTGGGTTGAGTGACATGTTGGACAAACCCCTCGTCTGCAGGAAACCTGCAGATTGTTGATGGATTTAAAATATTAGCGTTGAAATCTCTCGTGATAGCAATCGTGTTACTCTTTGGATCCAGCCAGTCAGGAAACTTTCCCAGATGTTCTTAAAACAAAGGCGTGGGATACGACGGTGGCCGATAAATAACTGCCATTAGTATATTGGATGTGGTGCAAACCAAACAGTCTAACTTAATATTTGGTCCCTGAAGAACATTATATGCCGACTGGCCTTGTATTTCAATCAATGTTGGGTTGCTGCTGCTGTGAGAAACTTTGTGGCTGACTATGAAAACTAGAACCTTCAATCTTTCCAGTTTCAAAAGAGGAAACTGCAGGCGGCCATGTTTCTGTGGCAGCTATACAGTTAAGCTGCAAACGCCACATCTGCTACATGTCGCCTTAAATTTTGCACGTTCAGCAGAAATACAGTGACGGTTTGTGTGTTGAATTTTCGACCAAGAAGGGAGGCATGTTTTTATTGCATCTTTAATGTTGTCTTTCCAATATATGGCCTTCTCCTCACAATCCTGAAGAAGCAGCCCTGACAAACTCCTAACACCACTTAACGCCACATCCGCCTGTCCAGGTGCAAACGTTCTTTTAAGGGACTCTACGGCTTCTTCTACACTAAGTCCTTGTACTTTGTGCACTGTACAAACCCAAACAGCTGACCTTTATTAGTAACCCTTTCCTCTTCTGCTTCAACACCTGTAGAACCCATTTCAGCTGCTGAAGCGTCTGCACAGCGTTTCCTCCGCTGCACGCCAATTTCACCCTCAGCAAATTTTAAACTTATTATTGCCATAAACTATATGTGTGACTGTGCCACCAACCCCATTAACCAGACCATCCATTACACCTACAGTTTTTTAGGGATGCACGATAATCATCAATCCGATAAATTATCGTCCGATATCGGGAATATTTTCATTATCGAATCAAACCGGAAAATTGCTGAAAACTAGGGCTGCAACAAATAATCTAATTAGGCGACAAAAAGCGATTATTGGCTTTAATAATCGATGACGTCACCGACACGTTGGCTAAATGGAGTGAAGTGATGTGAACAGTAAAGTTACTAAAACAACATCAGCGCTGGTATTAACACCTTCACAAGCTAAAAGCTCCAGAGTGTGGGAGCGTTTCACTCTTCGCTCGGCCAAAAAGGTTGTGAACTGCAGCGTCTTCAAAGCCAACTCTCCTGGGGGCACGTCAGTTCTGCTGGAGCCTCTGAGAGGAGGGCCGTAACCTCGGCTCTCTGGATGACGAAGACTCGTCTCAGTAAACTAGTTAGCTAGCTATCTTAATGTTAAAGCCATGTTACTTCACATTACAACGTTTTCTTTATTAGAGAACACCAGACAACGTCTTAGTTCCTTTCTAAACAGTTCTCCGGTCTCTGCGTGAGGCGGCGGCTAATCCGCCCCAGACTCCCTTAAAAAACCACGGAGGTTTGTGAGGTGTTGAGTTAGGGGAAACTACATAAACTTAGTGAAACGCTGTCGACTACAACGTCTTTATTATCGGCCCCCTCTTGTAACACATGAAATTATTCCTGTCTTTGTATAAACGTAGTGTCAGTTTGTGTCTGTGTGTTGCAGTATCAGCTTTTATTGGTTATTTACACTCATCACATGACACTAACATTAGGTCTAATGCCATTTCAGTGTGCACACGTGCAGCCTTCACTTGAGGCAAACTACTAAACTATTTCTGAGTGAAAACAACACTGATCTGTGGGTTTGAGTTAGATTTGTGAAACTGGCCTCCTCACTCTCCACGTCAAGCTGATGTGAGCTGAGTGTTCTGGTGCTAAATGGCTGCTAGCTGGGTCCTACATATTGGAGGGGTCGAGGCAAGTTGCCCTCTTCACTGAACGACTGAGTATCAAAGATGAAGCACTATATAAATGGAACGCAATATTCATTTATTCTCCATCACCAATGACAAGAAAATAGCTTTGCATGCTCCATCCTGTCACACACAGCGCACTAACCTCCTCCTCCTCCTCAGCAGAGGCAGGTGATGGCTTTGTAGACGCCTCCTCCTCGCTGGGTGTGGCCTCCACCTACAGAAAAATACATGAAAAAAATATTGAAACTAAAACAATTTAGTTTTTCACTGTTAATTTAAGGGGCAGCTACAATAAACAAGTATTCAGCAGCCGTCTTCCATCATCGTCCTTATATGGACAATATGTGACATCATGTACATGATGATAAACAATCACTGCCCAGGAGGTTATTACCCATTTTGATTGGTTTGAGTTTGTCTTTGCATGAGTTCCCTTGATGGACTGTAAAAAGGCTGCAGTCCATTAATGAGCCAAAATAACATTCAAGTGTTTTTTTGTTTAATCTGCATTAACAATGAAATAGCTCAGCGCGCTCCATTCACAAACATGTGGAAAGTTTCCGGGGCAACCGTCAAATAAAGTGCACTGACCTCGTCGTCCACGGCGACGTTCACAGCAGCGGCAGGTGACGGCGGCGTAGACTCCTCCGAAACACGTGGCGTCGCCTCCGCCTCAGGAAAACAAAAATGTAATGCAGAGCTTCTACCAAAATAAAAGCACGTATGTTTTTTCATCGTCTCACACGTGTTGTCTAAATACTGCAAACACGTGCAGAGATGTCATCACTGCCTGGCTACTAAAAACAAAACCAAACTCATATAATCAATAAACACATCCTAAGTGTTTAAGTTGAAGCCCAACAAACACAACACAGCTGCTGCTGGACCGTCCTCCTTCTGGGTGGACCAGAGGACGGCCCCCCTTCCTCAGGTGGGCTCCTCTGTAAGGACAGTACATACCCTACGCATTAATAAAGGAAACCTGGTTTTCACGCTGCGCAGATTACCTTCCTGTCCTTCCCAAAAAGTGTGGCCTCTAAAAGGTGTGATGGGAGGGGCACAACAACCACTTTTGGAGCCATAGGTGGGACAGGTGTCCTGGGAGCAGCCGGTGGCTTTGGCAGTGTGGTCTCCGGTTCCTGGTAGGCAGCGGCCCGCGGCAACTGAGCGAGGACAGGCATCCCGTCACTGTCACTCAGGTCGATCTGCAGAAATAATATTTCAATGTGTTTAAAAAACAGAACTTTAACTCTCAGACTGTAACTGAACTGTAGATCAGATAGTTTCACGTTGGTTCTGAGATGGTGTGCAGTACAAGTATAAAGTGGCAGTAAACACAAATACTCAGGTAAAATACTTGGATGTTGAATCTATCTGCTGACGCTTAAGAGATTTTGTGGATTTCAAATCTATGCAGATCACCTTTTGTCTTTACAAAGTCTAATATATAACTGGGACTCTGTGCATTTCCAATAATAATGACACTGATTTACCCACATATCAACTACAAAGAAGTGAACATCAGACCATGTTGTACTTACAGCGGAAAGTGCTCGGCAGTGTCGAAGTACTTCACACCTTTGAAAGAAAACAAACTCCATCAAATCATTTGAACTACTATTACAAAACCATGATTATTATGGAAACTGAAATCTTCATTTAACCAGTTTGCCTCACAAGCTGTAACCTCTTCTGTAACTTTATTTGAACTAAAGACTCTGAACGCACCAAAACGTGCAGCCGCTCGTCTGAACTCTTGAGCAAAGAAGCGCTGCTGAGGCTACCAGCAGCACAAAGTGGAACAACACAAGTCAGTATTACTAAATATTCCTCACATCAACTCATATCAAGTAGATTTTGTTCTCAAAAACAATGATCCCTTCTTGTTGGGAGCCTCGGCAGGAAGGAGCAGTTTGTGGCTGAGTCCGGTCAGGGGGGACATTAGCCACCGCTTCACTCTGTGGCGGGAACCAGTACCGCTGCCTGCATTTAGAAACAGACAGAGAGACTTGCAGGGAAACAGTTTACAAGTTCACAACAACATTAGAAATACTGCACAGGGAAATGTTTCTAAAACGGTGCGTACGAGGTTCTACCACCGCAGCACGCCGCTCAGCCGCTCGCCCCTTGGCGGCCTCCGAGCGACGGTGGAACCTGCTGCGTGGCATCTGAAAGGCACAACAGATTAATTACCACATGAGATTTATATGTTTCCATAAATACAATCTCCTCTTCAGCTGCAACACGTCTACACGACACAAAGCCGGAGTACGTTTATTCATTGAGCTGACGCTTTTATGCAAAGCACCTTACAGCTGCTGTATATGTCAGAGGTCGCCTCTGGAGCAACGAGGGGTTAAGCGTCTTGTCTCACAGTGGATTCGAACCCGCGTCTCTCTCACCAAAGGCATGCGTCTTATCCACTGTGCCACTGTGTATGTTTGTCAGCGTGTAGCTTATTCCTCCTCAGTGCAATAAAGCTCTTTGTGATTGTCACAGTCTCATGTAGCCTACAGTAACAATAATTACTAACACCACAGTCAAAATACTCCCTACAAGTCCTCTAATCACAACTGAAGGAAATTGAGATGGACCTATTCTTTATATGAAAAGCACAATGAGCTGACTTTTGATACTACAAGATTCTAGTTGTAGGAATTCTGACTGTAGTTGTAGAAGTTAGTACTAGTATCAGTAGTACAGACTGTAGTAATGTACTGTATTAGTAACAGCAGCAGTAGTACTACAGTAGTAGTAGTGAGTAAAATGCACATGTAAATATCTGTTATTATTCTTATATAACTTCTAATCCATATTTATAGATTTCTACATGTGTGTTGTCTTCTCTCTTTGTCTCTGGCTGCTTCTCACTGGCCTGCACTACGAAGGAAGTTTAACCTACTCAGAGTTAACTCGGGGTTATCAGGCAAACTCTGACCGCTACACTGGAGTTAAACGGTACTACGAAGGAGGAGAAGATGTTGGTCAGTTGAGTCCGTGTTAACTTAATTGGAGTTGGTGTGTGTTCGCATAAAAGCGGCGTGTTCGGCCGTGCAGGCAGAGTTTTTCCCGCAACGGCGCATGCTCCGTATTTCTCCAGAGGAACACACGTTGGTAGTGTCAGGAAATTATGAATGTAAAGACACGTTAACGGCTAAATCTAAGAGCCAGGGAGGCTTGTTGACATCTCATGGAGTAAATCTGCAGCCTAATTATCTTCAGTGTTCTTATAGTGGTTCAAATCTCTTTTCTGTATTTTATGGAAAAAAGGAGCCAGCGGAGAGGGGGAATAATGCAAGACAATTTCATTTACAAGTACAATTATGAAACTTTGCAAGGCTGCAACATCACACACATGTCTGTCGTGTATTATGTGTAACCCTCTGCGTCTGTGTCCATTTTGTGTCTATGGCGTGGACGGATGGCACGGCCACGCAGGACTTGCTCTCACTCTGGTTCTCCTTTTATTCTGCTATAAAAATCAACAGCACACAATCAGTAAGTGTGTGTTACGCAACTGCAAGCATCAGATCTCAAGCTTGGAAGTGTTTCCTTTTCCCACAAAAGACTAATATAAAATACATTTTCACAGTATTCTAGTCTTTTTCTGTCCATACTAGTATAAACCAAACACAGGATCGTATAGTGCTAATATTATGTATGATTTCTAAAGAGCGCCTGAACAATGAGAGCAATTTTCTTCTATACCCACAATAAAAACCCTCAAACATTCTAAACAAACATTTTGACCGTAGACATTTAATAGAACGTGTCATATTTCATGTATGTGCGTGTCGAAGTGTCCTCGGGCGGCTGCCAGTGTGTGAATGTGAATGCAGATGTAGTGTAAAAGCGCTTTGAGTGGTGGAAAAGACTAGAAAGGTGCTATACAAGTACGGAGCATTTACATTCACAGTGCAACATGTTACTGTCATAGTGCAAAAACCTCGCATCAAATAAGTTTACTTCTACACTCGACCACGTCCAAATGTGAAACACCATTAGCTCACTGAAGCCAACAAAAACTTTCATTTCACACAAACCACAATAAATTCTAATATTGGAATTGCGAGATTTTCCTGCAATGACAATATGTGAAACCTTCATTTAACAAAGCCAACCTGGTATAAAAATCAACAGCACACAGTCAGTAACTGTGTGTTCTGTCACTGCAACCATCAGATCTGTGTGAAAAGGAACAATTATCATCCAAAATAACTACTAAAAACATCACGGTCGGGAGTAACGTCAGCTCAACCTAAAGTGCTACTTCTGAATAAAGTTCCTATTTCTGCACGTACGTGTCAGTTACTTTTATTTTCCATGCTAGTTCTGCTTCCAGTCAAAATCCGTTACTGACAGTCATGAAACCAATTTTAAAACACTGATCACAACGTTGCTCACGTGCACCCCCCTCTAGCGTGGAAGTGTTTCCTTTGCTAGAGGCACGTACGATACGTGAGAAAGAACCCCGTGTATGCAGTTGCGCTATTAACCCACCGGGTGGCTCCAAAACTACATCATGGGACACAAGCGTGTCAATTTAGTAGAAATTCACAAGCGATTATTTCTAACTCTGTTACATATGCATGCAGTGGAAAGTTATATTAAACTTTAGCCCACAATCACTATCATGCACCTCAGAGACTTTGTCGTGGATCAGGCGTATTCAGAAGAAAACAGAGTCATTTTCTTGTAAATTTCACACTTTTTTCCGTCAGGCCATAAACCGTCACCCTGGCTCCCTATTTTTGGACAGGTAAAATAGTCAATCTTACCTTGATAAGCCAGTTACCCCGCTTCGTAGTATTTTGTCGATCCTCACTGGAACCAGAAGTTGTTCTGCCTTTTACTGGCCGACACGCCCCCTTATTGGTGCCAATAAACAGTAAACAGCAGGTTCTCATCTCAGGGCATCAGACAGGCCTCTACGCTCTGAGAAAGCCTGACAGAGCGTCAGCAGCCTGTTTGACTCCCTGAGATGAGAACTGGCTCAGTAGAAATACAGAACGCAGGCTGTTCTTCATGTGCAGCTGTTTGTTAAACAGGTAGCAGAGAGAAAACATGAGAGCCTTTATTAGGATCAGCACAGTGCAGCTGTGTGCAGACACAAACTCCATCCAAAGTCTCTCCAGCTGATCCAGCTGTGATCAGCCGCCGCCGTCATCACAAACCGCTTCAGAGGAAAGGACGTCTCGTGTTTCCTCGACTCCTCTCTCCTGGCTGGGTTCCTTGGAGAGGAAAAGACACAAGTGAACACACTTCCCTCCTCGTTTGGCCGGACGCTGAGGAAATAGCCCGGGCTCCGCTGTCATCTTCTGTTCACCACAATCCTTCGCTCACACTCAGGCAGAGGTGCACTATGAAGAAAGTGGAGCGCAGTGACGCCGCAGACGCCGACTCACCTGCTCTCTCCGCTTTGATCAGCTCAGCTCCCAGATCTCCCAGGATCATGGAGGCCAAGGGAGCGGCCAGAACTCTGCAGACACTTTCACAGGTTTCACTTCAAGCTGACGACTTTATCTGTGATTTTATTTCTTTATTTGATTCAAGAGTCTCTCTAAAAACACAACCTAAGATTCAAAGCACAAAGTGACTGAGATCATTTCTAAGCAGGCAGAATATTAATGTGAGTAAAAAGCAGCATCCAGGACTCCATTATACTACACTGGCAGGTATTTAAAAGCTGCAGCACAGAGGCTCAGAATACAAGAGCCACACAGAATGACATGAATATTAATGTTGATAGAAATCTGGAGTCAATAATAACATGCTGCTGCTTTATTAGACACTAAGTGAAACATGCAGAATCTAAAATACATACATCACTCTGACATTACTTTCATATATGTAGAGGAGCAGCAGAGCTGGACAAAAATACTGTATTAACATTAGTATTATCAGCTAAATGTACTTAAAGTGTCAAAGTAAAAGTACTCATTATGCAGAACGCCTTCTTTCACAGAGTTATATTATTCTAGAATATTATATTACTCTGTTTGCGTCACTAACAAATACATGTAAGAGTATTTTAATGCTGCCGTTTCAGATACTTTGTGTACTACGAGGTACATTAGTAGTAAAGTACTGCATCGTATTATAAAAGCACATCATGTGTGTTTTTATGTCAAAGTAAGTGTAAGTGTCAAATAAATGTAGCGCAGTGAAGAGTTACGTGTACTTGTACTTGTACTGCAGTACATTTCCCTCTGAAGTGAAGTACAAGTACGTCAACAGCGTACTTGAGCGCAGTACTTGAGTAAATGTGCTGCATCAGTGCGAACAGCAGGATGATCCAAACATAACAACAGAGAGTGGAGCAGTGCAGCTTCAGGAAGCGCTGACATCATTATTAATATTAATATTGTTGAGAATCAATTCTGATGTTTGAGTAGCAGCTAAACAAGGTAACTGCTGAGCAACACAAAGGGAAGAACCAGTAACATTTACCAGTATGACCAGTGGAGAACAACACAGCAGGATGCAGAGTTAGCAGAGACTGTCAGGAAGGAGAGAAACAGTTCAGTCATGATATCAGTTATCGTATCGACCACAACTGATTATTATCGGATATCTGCTCTGAAATTTCACAGCATTTTGACCAAAATCATTTAAAATCAACCTGTTCAGGCCAAGAGAGACGCTAACAGACGATTGTTCCTCTGCATCTCATTGACGGTTAAATAATGCATTCTCTCTCTTGGCCATCACTACAGGCAGAACCCATAGACTGTATAAAAAAGCGCTAACCTTAACCATATCCTACCCACACAGCTGACTTCCTGTAACTGGAGAGGAGAGAAGCGACACTGAAAACAGGAAGAGACCTGAAGTCAGTCAGTTCAGACTCCATTTTGAATCAACAGAGCAGAAGAAGAACTGAAGGCTGAGGCAGGGTGAGTGTTAATCCAACATTTTATTACGTTACTGTCAAAGTCTCTGAGGCAGTTTTCTCCCTGTGGACTGGAGAGGAAAGAAACCTTAGAGGAACTCAGCACTGTGTGTTTCTGTTTCATGTTCATATCTTGTGGTGGACTTTTTCCTGAATGTGCATTAACCCATGAGGACTCGTGTCCATGTGGGTGGAGACTGATTTTTGAGGGATAAGACTGCGTTTTAGCGTTAAAGATAGCTTTAGTTTAAGGTTAGAATAAGGAGCTGTGGGAGGTTTTATTTTAAAGAGGTCCCTAATGTCTGTGTGTTACTTCCTGTTCTCTGTCTGCTCAAATTCAAACTGCATGTTTGAACACACATTAACTGAAAGAAAAAGAGAGGACGTATTTTTTGTCATAGTTTGGGCTCTTTAGACACATCAGGGACACATATTTAGGTTGGAAAGACATGAAAAGGTGCATTTTGCAAATTTAGGGACCTTTAAAGAAAAGTGAGCAGGTCGAGTTCAGGCTGGTTTTATTTGTTGATTTTATTAGATGTTTAGAAGCCAAATAATAAAACATAATCAGATCTTTAACTTAAATCAAAGATCTGAATACAACAATGTAAAAAGAATTCATTTCAAATTCAAATCTTAATTAAAGAACAGAAGTATCAGCAGTAAAATGTAGCTGAAGGATCCAAAGGAAAAGTCGGCCTCCTCATTCTGCTGCAGAATGAAACCTGTCAGTGTTACATTATTATTTATTGGCTGTTATTGTCACAGCTAACATCTGATTTGTTGGATGTTATCTTTGTTAGCTGTGAGCGAACCGCTCTTACTAAAAGGGTTAGTTAGCTGTTAGCTGTTAGCTGTTAGCTGCTAGCCGTTAGCCGCTAGCTGTTAGCTGCTAGCTGCCTGCAGTCAGCTCACTGTTCCTCTTCATCCACAGGAGCTCTTTATGCTAATAGTGAACTGTTGTGAGCTACAAACTAATATTTGCAGGTAACAGTTGAACCGTATTAGCTGTTAGCTACAGAGACACAGGACTGTTAGCCAGTTTACATCCTTTCTAAACCGTCCAGCAGCTTTAGGTAACATCAGTTAGTCCAGCAGGATGTAGAGTTAGCAGAGACATGCTGTCAGGAAGGAGAGAAGCTCTGACATTAATTAGTCTGCAGATTAAAAACAAGTTTACAATAAATTAACCTGTTTTTCTCTTTAGTTGATGAAGGTCCTTTAAATATTGTTCTTAATTAGAAAAATTAACCTGTCAGACTAAAAATATTAATTTAATAAATTTAAACAAAGTTTTACTTTTGATAGATTAATATTATCAGTTATCGTATCGACCACAACTGATTATTATCGGATATCTGCTCTGAAATTTCACAGCATTTTGACCAAAATCATTTTAAATCAACCTGTTCAGGCCAAGAGAGACGCTAACAGACGTTTGTTCCTCTGCATCTCATTGACGGTTAAATAATGCATTCTCTCTCTTGGCCATCACTACAGGCAGAACCCATAGACTGTATAAAAAAGCGCTAACCTTAACCATATCCTACCCACACAGCTGACTTCCTGTAACTGTAGAGGAGAGAAGTGACACTGAAAACAGGAAGAGACCTGAAGTCAGTCAGTTCAGACTCCATTTTGAATCAACAGAGCAGAAGAAGAACTGAAGGCTGAGGCAGGGTGAGTGTTAATCCAACATTTTATTATGTTACTGTCAAAGTCTCTGAGGCAGTTTTCTCCCTGTGGACTGGAGAGGAAAGAAACCTTAGAGGAACTCAGCACTGTGTGTTTCTGTTTCATGTTCATATCTTGTGGTGGACTTTTTCCTGAATGTGCATTAACCCATGAGGACTCGTGTCCATGTGGGTGGAGACTGATTTTTGAGGGATAAGACTGCGTTTTAGCGTTAAAGATAGCTTTAGTTTAAGGTTAGAATAAGGAGCTGTGGGAGGTTTTATTTTAAAGAGGTCCCTAATGTCTGTGTGTTACTTCCTGTTCTCTGTCTGCTCAAATTCAAACTGCATGTTTGAACACACATTAACTGAAAGAAAAAGAGAGGACGTATTTTTTGTCATAGTTTGGGCTCTTTAGACACATCAGGGACACATATTTAGGTTGGAAAGACATGAAAAGGTGCGTTTTGCAAATTTAGGGACCTTTAAAGAAAAGTGAGCAGGTGGAGTTCAGGCTGGTTTTATTAAACTGTGTGTTTGTGTGTGTGACCTGTTTCCTGATTCTTGTGTTCTGAGTCACAGTCAGTTTTACTGTTTTACCTCTCAGACTGACTGAAGTCCAGAAGATGAAGAAGATGAAGAGGAGGACAGAGGAAGAGGAGGACGGAGCAGAGTCCTCAGTATCCAGCTGTCTGTCTATGAAGAGTGACTGGTCCAGTGATCAACCTCCATTCTTCAGTCCTGAACCTGGACCCTCAGACTCAAAGTAAGAGAACTGATACCAACTCATTTATAGGACTCATGTCCAGTTTCCTCTGACAAAGCTAAAAACTATTTGTGCCACAAAGAGAAATCATTGGTCCGTCTTCCTCTTAGTCTCTGTGAGCTGTCAGTCACCTGGAGAAGCTGGAATCTGATCTGAGAGACTAATAGAAACTTTTGAACCTCCTAATCTTCAACAGCAGCAGCAGTTTGTGTGTTTGGAGCTTCATAAATGGATTCATCAGATGATTTATCAAAGATTCATGTGATATGAAGAAAAACATCTTGGTGTTTGCAGAGTTCAGTCCAACAGACAGAGAGCAGAGTCCTCAGGATCCAGCTGTCTGTCTATGAAGAGTGACTGGTCCAGTGATCAACCTCCATTCTTCAGTCCTGAACCTGGACCCTCAGACACAAAGTAAGAGACAGTTTTTACTGTAAACTGACCTGATGGAAGATGATGCATTGAGGATGAAGACAAAATGTTCTGCTAACAGATTTATATTCCTGATGCAGAACTATTAGTGCAGATACTGTTTCAAACTAAGATGGATCTGATTTGATTTCTGGAGCAAAACACCTGAGAACCTCCATTTCAGAATTTACACTTCAAGAACATCTTCATATATTTTTGCCCTCACGTTGACGTCACTGTAAAGATTTAGAAGGATTCAGAATCTGAAAGAATCTGCTTCAAATGTGTCCTTCATTTTCTCCTATTTGTCCTCTAAACACTGAGCTGTTTGGCTCTTCCTCAGATCAGCTGTTCTGATCCACCAGATGCATCTTGAATCACTTCAGATCATAATTGTGCAACATGTGGTGAAAAAGCATTTGTAGTTCAGCTTTGCTCACCTTGATGAACACTTTGCTTTGAATCATTAGTAAGTGGAGCTTTGAGCTCAGATTCTCTCCACCATTATCGTATTGACCACAAATTTCACAGCATTTTGACCAAAATCACTTTAATTCAACCTGTTCAGGCCAAGAGAGACGCTAACAGACGTTTGTTCCTCTGCATCTCATTGACGGTTAAATAATGCATTCTTTTAGAGGAACTCAGCACTGTGTGTGTTTTTACGTCTTGTTGGGGACTTTATCCTGAGACAATGAGGACTCGTGTCCATGTGGACAGAGAGAGTTTTTGAAGGTTAAGACTTGTTTTAGCGTTCAGATTACAGTCAGTTTAATGTCAGAGGATTAGGTAAGGCAGTTTGTCAGGGAGATGTCCAAAGGTGTGTGTGTGACTTCCTGTTGTCGTGCGACTCTTGAACAAACTTGTTTCCTGGTTCTGAGCTCACAGACAGTTTTTCCTTCAGATAACTGCTACATCAAACCTTTAACATTTAAAAGCTGACCTACAGTTGAAAAGCTCAAATGTTTTCTGTAGAAATTTAAAAGATTCAAGAAAATTAGTTTAATTTAATGACCAATTAATAATTCAACCTGCTATATTATAAAATCTAAAGACATTTGAGAAGCTCATTAAAAGTCGTATTTATTGCAGAACTATTCAGCCAGATGAAGTTAGACTGAACAAAGGAAGAGAGTTGGTCATAAACCTGAGCAGGTGAAGAAAAAGGGAGCAACTAAACAATAACAGAGAAGTTTGCAGGAAGTTAGTTGAGACTCATTTAGAGTCGACTGATCAGATCCATCAATAATCAATAACTGGCTTCTCTCTGTTGCAAACTGAAAATATCTGAGTTTCTTATGTTTGTTGTTTCTGCCATTTTATAAACCAAACGATCATCAATAGAGAGAAGACCTGTCAGCTTAATCAGTAATGAAGATATTTATTAGCTGCAGCTGTGAATAACATTTAAAAAACACATCTAATTTGAATAATTACTCATTCATAATAAACTTCTACTGAAATAGTGACATGAAATTCAGTAAACAAGACTTTAACTTAAACATCTGATTAGTGGAGGAGGATTTCCCACCTGTTTGTGAACACTGAAAGATAATATGGGAATTAATTACAATGGGCAATTTTGTACTTGTTAAATCAGAAAAAGCAAATACTATGAATAAACACATCTAATAAACTGAACTTAAACTAATATCAGCAAAACAGAAAGGTGACCTGTGAGACTCATAAGATAAACCTGCTGTGGGACGGCTCAGTGAAGGCATCTGGTAATTTTATCATCTGTAAAACTAAATGTTTTGTTTTATCAAACACCCAGTGAACATTTATTTGTGATGAAATTAGTCCTCATCTCCTGATTAAGCTGCCACATTTACACCAGGACAACATTCCCGCTGTGTGGGATTACAAAATGTTGCATTCATATTATGGTCTGTTAGTACTCCAATAAGTAAAGATTGTTTAGATATAGATATATAATTGTTGTCCTTGATATTAACTTTCTGAAGATTTCTAATTTCCTGCCTATTAAATACAGGTGTGTTCCCTTCTTCACTTTTCCCTGAGGAAGGTCATCTGTGGTTGGTCCATCAGTCACATCCGCATGAAATGAGAGAGTTTGTCTTTTATGTCATAATCTGGTCTGTGTTCATCAGTGTTACATCCCGAAGTGTCTACGGGCAGCGGGCCATTAACATAAACCAGATGTTATTGGTATTTGAAAGGGTATTTATTTTAAAAAAGGCAAACAGAGCTCACAACAGAAAATGGGCCTTTGGGTGCTGCTGAAATCAATAAAGGAGGGTTACTAATCTAACTACAACTAAACAAAAAGCTCTCTAACTAAAATCCAACACACAAAGCGCACAGCACCCCTGAACCTAGTGGAACTAAACAGAAACCAAACTACTGTGTGCTACAGCGGTATCAGTTTTAGGACTCGATACCTGGCCCACTTCCTCACCTTTGCACAGTTCTAACAGGACCACGTACAACAGTGTCTATCAAGGCTAAACAACAAACACTACAAGGCAAACAGCTCTGAGGCAGCTGCCCTGACCTGCAGTCCAAGTAGGCTATTTTTCTAGTCTTTCACCCTGTTTTTCAGTTTTTCATGCTGTCTCCTGTTAGTTGTTTCTGGGCAGTGCATTGATTTTGCTGCTGTTTTAAAGGTGCTTTCACTTCAGCTGCTGACATCATGTTACTCTGACTGTGATGTGAAGGCTGCTTTGACCTTCTTGCGTTGAGGCTGTAATGCTTCTAATTAAAGTAGATTTTAGCAGTGGACACAGGAATGTTAAAGGAATGCTATTACGATGTGTGTGAGAGTGCCTATGTAGGCTGCTTCCTGCCCCCCCAAAGTCAGAGCCCCACCTCTGCCACCTTAGTTAAAAAAAGTCTGGACACCCCACCAAAAACTGAGAAACCTGGCAAATAGATGGTTTTAATGTGTGGTTACGATCCCTTAATACACGGTTAATAAAAAAGTGGTTCACTTAATAGAAAACCTAAATTTAGCCCCACAGGTGTAGGTCTTATAATGTAGCTCTGTTTACAACATTCACACATTAATAATCTACGATCCTACAGCTTTTATTACTGACATTAGATTAGGAGCCATGGTTTAAATAACCCCATTACATCAGGATCAACTCCCTTTAAGATAAACCTTGTGTCCTGAACTGAATCAGCTGCATCATGTTCACACATTCAGGGATGGATGGCTGAGAAGTTACGCTGAACTGTTCATGAGCCATGTGGGAAGAATTTAACAGAACATTCTGTCAGTAATTCATGAACATCACAGAGAGGCTGTTTAAAGATTTCCTCTCATACAGGTTGTAGACTGAGATATTACTTTCAGCAGCTACACATCATGGTAAACAGCTCTCTTTTCACCAAACACTCAGCTGACTTCCTGTAAATGCAGAGGGGAGGAGCAGCACTGAGAACAGGTGTTACGTCCCACCCTTTGGTGGCAACATGGGACGAACACCCCAACACTGACCCAAACTCAACACAAATAAACACCTTTATAACATAACTAGACAATAAATTAAGAACACCAAAACACAAGAACACAATTAAAGCTGCAAGCAGCGTTGGGCGGGCCCTCGCACTTGTAGCACGTCCGCGCGTGAGCTGGCCGAGTTGCATATTCTGGAGCTCTGCCGGTGCGGCTGTGAATTTCCTACGCGGTTCCGACGCCGCATGAAGGTGCTATATGTCACTTCCTGTGTCCCCTATGTGGAGCTACATAGCACTTGCCGCTATGAATATAAATCGGTATTGGCGTGTAGATGTCTGCGGGGTGGGAGAGTTATCAAGCACGTAAAGTTTGTTTCAGATGTGAACATGTACACTGAACAATAATGTACCCAAACAATAAAATAAATTCCTTTTATATTTCCCTGCCTTGTTGTTTATGTGTACATACAGAGGAAGAATGTGAGAACAGCACACATTTCATCGTTACTGTGTGTTAGAGCATGGGAGAACAGTGGATACTTTTAATACAGCCCACACCCCTAATACTGTGTAACTATAACAAGTAGAGAACAGAAGAAAAAGATGTTCTTTCTTTACAACTGTCTGCATAGCTTATTCATATTGTGTAATGAATGAAAATAAATAGGCCTACTAGGCTCCTCTCTACTTTGACATTTAAGATTAGTGTCAAGTTTTGATTTATTTCTTGTGCAATTCCCCACTTGAAAAGGACAATCCCTCCACATGAAGTTTTTTAACTGGATTTCACTCAATAAACAGCCATGGGATCAGTTGTTCGTCTTTTATTAACCAATCTTTGGTGGGCAGTAAACAGGTGAAAAACCTCAAAAGAGAGATGACAAATACAAGTTATTATCCGAGTTAACAGCCAAAATGAAATTATTCACATTTAACTCAGACAAACATATTTCTGCCATTATAAGTTACAAGGTTTCCAATTTTAAAGTAAATATTATCCAAATAAATACCCATAATTTTAAATCAAATGATCAGAGCTAGTACATTTTTAGTCAAATTCACATTTTAGTCAAATGCAATACAAAATATTTTTTAGTAATTTTTAGTAGTAAAAAATTCTATTTACTTTCTAATCATTAGTTTTAAGCCATATATTTCTAGTAAAGAATTATTATAAGGTATCAACTAGTATGTAGCCACACAACTAGATACATTATACCAAACCAAATCAGTTGGTATTTTAATTGTCAAAATGTATATTTTCTTATCTTTCCTTTTCCCCACTTGTTTGATAAAACCAAACAACATTTGAATTTACAAATACCACTGCAAAAAGTCCTATCAAAGTCAGCAAGAGTTAAGAGTCTGTGTTTTTCCAGAGCATCATTAGCACTACACTGCTTAAGTCAATCTAATCAAACATGGCCAATATGGCGCTTACCGGCTGTCCTTCACAGTTTTGTGGAGGGCTTGGTCTTGCAAAATCACTTTAATGACAAAGATCAAGATCCTTGGTTTTGTGGTGCTATATATGCTCCTTCCACTGCGGTCTAAAGCCAGGTACTGGCACGCTCAGATTGCCTGGAAGATTTGTTCCACCTGGTTCACCACTGATTGAAGGGGAGGAGGAGCTCCCAGGCAGTTTGTCAGCACACCTCCCACTCGATCTTCCCACAGGACCTGATGGAAAGATCGTAAATCAGCACCTGCTCCTCAACTGGCAGCAAGACAACCAGGCGTCGAACATCTCTGTGCAGAACCGTGGTTTGGGTAGCTTCTTTCAGGACTTTGACCGATGGCCGGTTTAGTGCGGGTTTTGTGACAGGAAGGCAGGAGCTTCGGACCACTTTGACGTTCACGTCTCGAACAATGCCCTTAGCATCTGGATTGACGCTCACCACCCGTCCTAGCTGGAATTGGCCCCTCACTGCATTTTGGTCGCACAACCAGACAATATCTCCGACAGCAACGTTGCGATGCAAAGTGTGCCATTTACTTCTCAGGAATAAGTTTGGGCCAGCAAGTTGGCTCCAAGACCTCCAGAACTTGTTGACCTGGTTCTGCATCTCTCTGAGTCTCTTGTAAGGGTAGTTTGCGAAGTCAAATGTTCTGATCTCACCGCTTGGAGAGGCTCGGCCCAGGAGAAGTGTGTTGGGTGACACATACTGCACACTTTCTTCATGGCTCTGCACCCTGGCGTCTATTGGGCGTTCGTTGGCAAGGTTTGCAGCAAGTTGTAGTGTTGTTTGAAGCTCGCTGTAGCTGAGGCCAGTGTTGTTGCCCAGGCTCTGGAGTGCCTTCTTGAGAATGCGGACAGCGGCTTCAGCAGCCCCATTTCGGTGAGGTGAATCAGCAGGGTGAATTGTCCACTCCCATTTGGTAACTTTTTGAGCCGACATCTCTTCTATTGAAGTTCTATTCTGAGCATCCCGGAACTGGTACAGCTCTTTTAGGACAGGTTTGGCGCCGATGAAGTTTGTCCCCGGGTCGGACCAGATCTTTCTTGGGTGCCCTCTTATTGCAGTAAAGCGTTGGTAAGCCATCAAGAAGCTCTCTGTCGACATTGTGTTGACCAAGTCTGCATGAATTGCCCTACTGGCCATACAGCTAAAGACGACACCCCATACTTTCATTGAGACCCGTTTCTTGATGTCATCTTTGACAAGATACGGTCCGAAGAGGTCGACTGTAGTAAACTCGAATGGGGCTGCAGGTGTGGCTCTTTCAGGAGGTAGGATAGCCATTACTTGTTTGCAACTTCTTGCTCTTGACTTTTTGCAGAAAAGGCAGTTCTCCACTACTTTTTTGGCAATTTTCCTCCCTTGGATGACCCAAGCTTTCCTCCTCATTTTCAGCAGGGTTGCAGCCACACTTTCATGGCCCTCATCGTGTGCCTCCCGTGCCAATAAAGTAGAGACCCATGCATTGAACGGTAGAAGGGGAACTGCAGCGCTATCCTCCCTGAAGCCATGGATTCTCCCACCGCAAACTAGTAACCCAGATTCTGGCTCTCTGTACACAACCAAGCGGTCCGTAGTGGTAGCTGGGAACGTCACCCCCTCTTGAGCAGCAAGATAGATGTCTCTTATTGCTTCTTGCCGTTCTATGGCGGTGATAACTCCTTTTGTGGGAATCGCCTCCCACTTAGGGTTCTCAATGGACTTTGTTGCAGAAGTAAACTTTTTGGCGGCTCTCCAGATAAAAGCAACAGTCTTGATTAGACACTTTAGGCTACTAAAACGCCTCTCATCCACCAAGTTTAGGACAGCTGCACCAGCAGGAAGTCGTCCCACAATACTTGGAAGACTTCTTTTCGCTTGGGCTCTTGTGAGTGCTGCCACGAATGACTTCTTTTGCATATTGTTAATGCTTTCTCGAGCTGTCACAGACACATCTTTTGACGACATTATTGGCCACTCGCTCTCTGGAAGATGTAGAAACTCTGGCCCTTGCTGCCACTCTGAATGGGCATCAAGTTCCTTTGGTCCAGCTCCTCGAGTGATAATGTCTGCTATATTGAGTGGTCCAGGGATCCACCACCAGTCCTGTAGCCGTGTGCTTTCTTGGATTTCTCCAATTCTATTAGCGAAGAAAGTCTGAAATCCATAGCTTTCACGCTGGATAGCTCCAAGAACAGTCTGACTGTCTAACAAATGGTACCACCTTTTTATCTGGATTTGGGTATGCTGTTCAAAGTATTTTTTCAGGCGGCTTGCAAAAACTGCACCACAAAGTTCTGCTTTGACCGCATCCCCCTTCTGGTCTAGAGGTGTCAGTTTTGCTTTTGACTCCACTAGTCGAATTGTTAACTGTTTGTTGCAGTTCCACCGCAGGTAGAGGACAGCATCATAGGAGCTTTCACTGCCATCTGAAAAAGTGACAGCGACTGGTTCAGTTGTTGCCTTTGGTGGAGTAAGGGCTCTTGGGAACCTTACTTTGCTTAGCTGGACGTACTCCTCAAAAATTCCAATTGCATCCTTGCGGAGCTCATCCGACAGAGGAAGGTCCCATGTGTCCTTGACCATGCTGCACTTTGGTTTTGCTTCTTGGAATGCCCTTCGGACTAAGATAGCCCCTTTTTGCTTTGATGGTGTTGTCAGCCCAACTGGGTCGTACAAACCAGCAACTTGACTCAACAGTTCACGTCTTGTCAGTGGGTCTGGTGTCTGTGCTCGTACTTCTTCTAACAGCAAGTCTTGCCCAAGTCTCATCTTTTTCTTTCGCCTGGAGAAGTTGACCCTCACCATGACATGCAACATGTCTTCATCCACCATGTAGCCGAGACCGAGCGCCTTGTTGTCTTCCTCCTTAAGCTGGTTCGGCAGGACAACAATATTTGGTGACGCCTTTTCTCTTTCTCCTTTACCTTGACCTGAAAGGACCCAAGGCTTCAGTGCAAACCCTCCTGCTTTCAGAATAAGCTCCACATTTTTTGTGATGACTTGGAGTCTTTCATGGCAGTTGTGGGATGTCAAGATGTCATCAACGTAGCTGTGCTCATGTAATACTTTGCATTCATCTGGGAGGTGGCTGAATTGAGGCAGGTTCGCTGTCTCCCTCATAGCAAGTTGCGCTATGCAACCTGCCGGCTTGTCCCCGATATTCACTCTGGTTACGGCATACTGTTCTAGCTCATCACCCTCTGAATCACGCCACAAGAACCGGTGTAGATGGACTTCCCTCTCCTCGAACCACACAGAATTGTACATTTTTCTGACGTCTCCTAGAGCGGCGAAGGAGCCTTGGCGGAACTTGAGGAGGACGGCTCGGATCGGGTTGAGAACGTCAGGGCCTTTCATTAGAAAGTCATTGAGACTTTGGCCTTTGTACTTCTGACTGCTGTTCCAGACAAGCCTTACCGGAGTTGTAACAGAGTGGGGGTTGGGTGCGATAAGATGACTATATACCAGACAGGTCCATTCCAGTTGGTTAGATCCTCTTTGGTCAGCCTTTTTGCAGCCCGGCGGTCAACCATTTCGTGGACTTGAGCTCCATAGGCTTTTTTCCAATGCGGTTCTTTGGCGAGCTGTCTCTCTGTTCTGAGGAAGGTTGCCTCCACTGCTTTTCTGTTGTTTGGCAATGTAGATGGGTCCATGAGCCACGGATATCTTGCATGCCAGTGTGGACTATCACTGTGGTCAT